TTCAAATCCCCAGCAACTCCTTGCTCTCTTCATGGATTCCCCTCCCTATGAATTCCAGTGCATCAGTTCCATGCACTTCTTGGTTTGGAGTAGTTTGCAATGCTGATTGGAGCATTCACAGGTTGAACCTCAGTTTATCTGGATTAAAAGGTACACTCCACCAATTTGCATTCTCTTTCTTACGAAATCTTACACATTTTGATCTTAGTGTTAACAACTTCTTTGGCCCCATCCCAGCAGAAATCAGACTCCTAACAAAACTTGTATATCTTGATTTATCATTGAATAAGTTTTCTGGAATAATCCCACCTGAAATAGGAAATCTGCACCAGCTAACCATCTTGTACCTATACTCAAACAATATATCTGGATCAATACCTATTGAACTTGGGAATTTAAAGTCTCTCACTGAACTTGAGATGAGCAACAATCAACTTAATGGTTCAATTCCTTCAACACTAGGAAACCTGGACAATGTACAACGCCTGATCCTCAGGGATAATAAAATTTCTGGTCCCATTCCTACTGAACTTGGGAATTTGAAGTCTCTCACTCATCTTGGGGTGAGCAACAATCAACTTAGTGGTTCTATTCCTTCATCATTAGGTGGTTTGACTTCTTTAATTGCCCTTTATATGCATTACAATCAGCTTTCTGGTCCCATTCCTATCCAAATTGTGAATTTGAAATCTCTTAGTGATCTTAGGATGAACAACAATCAAATTAGTGGTTTTATTCCCCCGGAGTTTGGAAATTCAACTCAACTTCAGAGGCTTGATCTGTCTTCGAATCATTTGGTCGGTGAGATCCCAAAGGAGTTTGGGAAGATGAAAAGTATGTTGTATTTGTACTTGTCTGATAACCAACTTTCAGGTATCATACCTCTGGAGCTTCAATTCTATGAATTCCTTGAAAAACTTGATCTGTCTGGAAATAGATTGAATGGGTCGATACCAAAAAGTATTGGTCATTGGGCACACATCCACTACTTGAATCTTAGTAATAACCAGCTTAGTGAGAAAATTCCATCTGAGATTGGTAAATTAGGTCAACTTACAGAACTTGATTTGTCTCAGAATTTGCTTACAGAAGAGATACCATCTGAAGTTCAAAGTTTGAAAAATCTGCAAAAATTGAACCTTTCTCAGAATAGACTATCTGGTTCTATTCCAAACGCTTTTACTAGTTTGCCTAGTGGGATTGACATCGACCTGTCTAACAATGAGCTCACAGGTCCAGTTCCGCTTTGCTCTAACTTTGTAAATGCATCCTTACAAGGCAATCTAGGTTTGTGTGGAAATTTTACAGGACTAAAGTTTTGTGCAAGTCCAATCTTGAAGAAGAGAAATGATCCCTTACGTCATCAACTCATTCTTGTAATTATGCTCCCTCTTATTGGGGTAATTTTACTTGGTTTATATGTGTGTGGCCTCATTGTTTATAGAAAACAAATGATACATTCTCCACAGAACCCATTCGACGAAGAGGGCGGTGATCATTTCTCCATAACAAATTTTGATGGGGGAGTAGTGTATGATGATATCATGAAGGCGACAAATGATTTCGATGAAGCATATTGTATTGGGACCGGAGGATACGGGGCTGTGTACAAAGCCGAGTTACAACCTAACAATGTGGTAGCTGTCAAGAAACTTCATTCATCATCTGGGAATGTTGACCATAATGGATTTCTTAATGAGGTACGAGCATTAACGAACATAAGGCATCGAAACATAGTGAAACTCTATGGATATTGCTCCCATGCCCGCCACTCATTTTTGATTTATGAATACCTTGAAAAGGGAAGCCTTGGATCAATCTTAAGAAGCAATGACTTAGCAAAAGATCTAGATTGGTTGAAAAGGGTCAATATTGTGAAGGCCATAGCTAATGGTTTGGCTTATATGCATCACGACTGCTCACCTCCTATAATTCATAGAGACATTTCCATTGCCAACATTCTTCTTGATTCCGATTATGAGGCACATATTTCTGATTTTGGCACGTCGAAGCTTTTAAAGCTAGACTCATCCAACTGGACCGCAATTGCTGGCACATATGGTTATATCGCGCCAGGTAACGTAATCTTGTTATTGTATTTCTACATCTTCTTAAGTTTCATAATGTACATACAAGTTTATCTATGTTAGAAGCGTGTGAAGTTGATATAGCTTTTTTGTTTTTTTTTCTTATTTTTGTTTGGATGTAGAGCTTGCTTATACAATGGTGACAACCGAGAAATGTGATGTGTATAGCTTTGGAGTTGTTGCACTAGAATTGGTCATGGGAAAGCATCCTGGAGAACTAATCACATATTTACCAACACTATCTGATGATCATCTTGTGCACGCAAATGTGGGAGATAGTCGGATACCGCCTCCCTCATCCCAATCTGAGAAACAAGTTAAGATTGTTCTGAGTCTCTCAAGGGCATGTTTGAACTCCAATCCACAAGAAAGGCCAACAATGCACCAAGTTTCAAATTTCTTGATGAAGGCCTGATATAGTTCACTTTCAATATTCTTTATTATTTTTTTCTAGTTTCCTATGATGCACCCTGATGATATGTATGCAATTAAATGCCTTCTTGTTAAGATACTACTGATGATTGTTAATACAATGATATATTATATCTGTATTTAAATTACTTCTTGTTAAGGTACTACTTAGGGATGTAAATTAATCGAACGTTCAATGAACAGTTCGTGAACCATTCGGCATGTAGTTTGTTTATGTTTGTTTATTTAATAAATCTACGAATTTGAACACAAATTCTCATTCATTTAGTTAAATGAAGGAACATGATCAATGATCTTGTTCGTTCAATTATCTTCATGAAAGTTCGTTTATGCTCGTTCATTGAAGTCCTTTTATGTTCATATATGTTTAATTATGTTTGATTACATTACTATATTATATGTTTGTTTATGCTCATATATGTTCAATTATGTTTGTTTATTACCGTTCGTTTTTTTCTTTCATTTATGTTTGTTTAGCATGTTCTTGATCATAAACGAACGAATATTAACAATGTAATTTGTTAAATAAACGAACATGGACAAGAAAATTTGTTCCTTTATCCGTTCACATTCGTTCGTTTGTTCGGCTGACTTAACTGAACGAGCGTGAACTATAAATGTAATAATTGTCTTCCCTAATTAGGTGACATGAGGGTAATATATATATATATATATATATATATATATATATATATATATATA